CGCAAAGTTCAGTTCGATCAGATGAGGACAAAAATGTTTGGCACCGTCAAAAGTCTGGTGGTAGGGTCCTGTCGACGATGTGAGTTCAGCTCCTCATTGCTGTCTATCAGGAGTTCATCGAAAGGTCAATGCAGCACTGCCGATCACTTGTTGGCGGGATGGCGTGGTGAAGTTCAACGTCTGCAGCATTTTTCTTCGTCCATGCATCATCTGCGTTTCTCAGCGGGGCGGCGTCGAAGACTTTCTTCCGCCGTCTTTTCATCAGTGAGGAACGGGACTGACTTTGAAATGTACATTGGGGACAAGCCAATATTACCAATTTTGTTTTTGGATCAGGAGACTTTTGCGGCACGCAGTGTTTTTCAAAATACGACACTCCCAACTGATTGCAGAGAAACCGAAATCATTTCCTCAGTGAAAATAACAAGGTTTCGTGAAAGAAGATGCGAGTCATGAAAGCGTCAATGGAAATCGACTTCCAAACGGCGACTAGCTTTCCTTTCCCGTTATTCTGAAAGTTAAAGCTGGGGAGGAAAGGTTGGGAAGTCTACGAGGCTTCGGAAAGCTTTTGTATAATCAGAGGGCAAAAGATCTATTTTGCAGCATTCTTAAAAACGTACAAGTGGATATTTTGTTCGCGTCAATAGCCACAACAGCAATAGAACAAAATTGTTGATTTACTCCAGAACAGCACTTTCGGATAATCCTAAATATCACGACTGCACTATCGAAATGCAACGTTTATGAATCGCAGTAGATTTGCATATTTGTTGGCTTTCGAACAGTTTGTTGTTCGTCTTAATGCAATGATGAAGTTTAACATGCATGCAGTGCAGGTGCCATTTTAAAAAATGTTATAAGTTAGAGCAAGGGGATGCGCATTTAACGATGTGCAAATTCAGAGGAGGTGCTTGTGGGTAATTGTGTATAATAATCAGCCGTTTTGATCTACTGCTGGATAAAGGCTTCTTCAAGAATTTGCTATGAACTTGCCTTCGCAATTATTACCCATCTTGATCAAATGCACTTTTAAGCTCATCCTACCATCTACCTGGAGGCTTTCCCGCAAGTAGTTTACTTTCTCTTGGAATCTAGCCCTTCTGGCACAGCGAGGCTTCCCTCTGCAATGTGTTCTACCTAATGTCACTTTAAATTTTTCCCTCTGGCAATGACATCGCAGACTGCTGTCTGTGCTCTTACCCATTTATTTAGCTTCCTCTTTCTATACTGCTGTGCTTAGTTCGCAGTTATGAATCCTCAGTTTTTAGGCTCAGGATTCATGTTTCTCATTTGTTAGTCATCAGGGAGCAAACAGTGATTGAAAACTTTCTGTTTCAAGTATAAAAGCAGTCTCAGTCTTCCAACAGTGTTCCATAGTGCAATCAGTGGGACCCTCATCCGTTCTCGGCGTCCCAACCGTGGAGGACGAAACGATCAAATTAGTGGACAGGAGATAATTCAACGAAGTGCATAATTCTATGCCATTGCGGCAGTCTTGAAAACTTGTCATGACCCTGACTGTCTATCGAAGCTGCGATAACTTGAGTCGTGAAAGAATGATAACTTCGTAAACATTGGGTTGCCAGCCGTCTGGTCATTCGGATTATGGGAGGCATCTATTGCGCCAGTTTTTATGGAACGGGCTAATCTCCTCTGTAATGCAAGCACAGTAATATTAATTTTCTTATGACGGCCAGGTCTATAGTTGAATGGTCAGTATAACGCATAGTCCTATACAACCCATACAGTGCTGCTCATTTATTACCTCAGAGAGGAAAGACAAGCGATTCTGTGGGATTCGAACACACCAATATTCAAGCTACCGATCTGTCGTACCACTGAATGAGTTGGCAAAACTTCGTGTCAAATTGGGTTGACTGCGCTTCTACTGCCCTCAATGAAGGTCTGGCTATATGAAGGTCACTCCGAACGTTGTCATTGTCCTCGTCATTTAAGGCTAACAACTTTTGAAAAGCAGGTAATCCAGATTATTACCTGGTCGTTATGCATAGTGTCTCATATTGACACTATGCAACAAAGTATGTCTGAATAAATTGTTTCAGGGTAAACGAATTCTATGGACGTCTTATAAATAAATCAACAAACATGTTAACGTTTCATGTATGAGTTGGCCTACAAAACCTACCAACTCGTCTAGGTGGCGGAAGACGGGCAGCGAACTAGAAATATCATGACGTGACGGACAAAACAACGCAGTGTGTAGTGCCTCCAATCCCTATGCAGTGACTAAATAGAGTCTCTCGCATGGAACGATCAGCCGACGAGGATAAAACAAAAAAATATGAAGATAATAGATATCCTTTAGTTACAAACTTCAAGCCTACTCGATTTCGGCTCCTTGCTGCGGTCTAAACAAGTATTGTTT